CTGAAAAATATGATTGCATCGAATTAGATTTATAGCACACAGAAAATCGTACCCTATTTGCACTTAACTAGAGACGTTATTCGCGTGACATATGTTTCAGAGTCAGAAGCCACTTGTGAGATCTGTTGACATCCATGAAGAATAATAAGTGGAGTTTGAAAGCAACACCCTTATGAGTTAATTCAGTTTTTATCATTACATGTTGAAGTTCTTTTAAATGTATACAATTAAACGTGTATTGTTGTAGTGTATTCCCTCACTACGTAGACAATTATCATTTCTGATTATTTTTTCCATTGATCGACGAAGATGCCCTTTATGGGATATAGTAGCAAAATTTTATCAGCGAATGATGCTACTTAATACTAGAAAATGAGTTATGACACTATTTTCAGCTGAATTAAGTAAAGTATTTTCAACTTTAAGCCTAAGACATTAAATAATATTTGACTTGTTAAATATAAAATACTGTCTTTAGTTTACGCGATATTAGTTAAACTTATTTGAAAATGATTTTAACTTCGGCCCAACGTTTCGGATGCTTTGCAACAGCCGTGGTCACGGGGACACGTCTCCACTAAGATGCTCCATTAAGTAAAGATGGAGGATGTCCCGAATGTTGTAGTGAGATTTGCTACACTAGTGTTCACCAGTTTACCGGTATAGATCCGAAACGTCGGACCGTAGTTAGATAAAGTCGATAATAATCTAACTTATATATTCCTCGTTTTAAACTGTTATAAGTGTTTTACTTCAATTCTTTTATACATGTATTAGTATTTTTTGTAGAAACATGTATGAAATTGAAGTGTTAACAACAAAAAAGCCCGAGGAAAAGTTTAAAACAGTGAAGTGAAACATATGAAGTAAAAGTGGGCCAAAGTTGCAAGTTAGCGAAGTTGAGGAGCGTTCCAGAAAATTGGGTTCCAACTTCCAACTTCGCGTAACTCGCAAATACTGTTACTTACCATTATGCGAGCGGTATTAAGACTAATTCGATTCTCACCTCAAATTAATTTTAAGTGGATCTTTATTTTTTTGTATTTGACGGGCTCGCTGTTGCCGTAGGTACCTTGCTACAGGTGACTACGGTTAATCCACGGGTCGTGGGTTCGTTCCCCTCCGGTCCAACACCTTATTATTTTATCAATTTATACTTTTCTTGAAACATATTACACTTTGTCTGGAAGCCTAATTATAAAAAGGGTTGGGATGGTTCGTCACGTTTTAGTTTCAGTCTTTGGAATTCCGAATATTCAAAGCGAACATAGGTTGACTTTCTTCTTATTCTTTAATATAGGCTGTGGTATTTCACCCACCAACAAGTGAAACTCATGCTTCTCTGTCCTCCTCTATCATTAATATAAAATATATATTTAAATAAAACACTTTAACGGTTTAAAACGCGATATATTAGTTGAACTTATTTGAAAATGATTTTTAACTTCGGCCCGACGTTTCTCCCCGTGACCACGACTGCTGCAAAGCATCCGAAACGTCGGGCCGAAGTTAAAAATCATTTTCAAATAAGTTCAACTAATATATCGCGTTTTAAACCGTTAAAGTGTTTTATTTAAATGTGTACTACTCGCGTAAACTATAGACAGTATTTAAAATATATATTTTAAATACTTGAGTTATATAAATTTGCAGCGAAAAATAGATGTAGGTACTTATTTATAATCATTCAAATACCGTTTCCACTCCTGGGCCGTGGGACGAACACTTTCGTGTCCTTTTCACTGATCAACTTTATTCGCAGGCAAGTAGTTAGTATACCTATGCCCTACCCAAGCACCATGGTTTCGCTGGGATTCAAAACAAGGGCCTCTCGCGTTTAATAAAGTTTATAAAAACGAAAGCTACGACGTCGTCCGCGTTGTTCTTGTGAAGATTAACATCTTAAAAGATAGATAGTGGGCATTATTTATATAATTTAAAGAGGAATCATTATTTCTTACATATTTTTCAGCCGTTTTCGCATCGCACGCAGCGGAAGCCCTCGACAATAAAAAATATTTCCCCGTTTTTACCACATTTTCTAATGTTTCATTGCTCGTATTAGTCACCGCGTGCACCGTGATGTTAGCCTTAAGTCTTTATCCATAAAAGGTCTATCCAAAACAAATCAGCGTTATAATATTAACATAGATAAGTACATCGAAATATTTCGTTACAAATGTTGATTCGAGAGCACCAAAAGAATTACAAGCACTTTTCCAAAGGCGGCCGTTTTGCAAAGAATTATTCATATTGTTGTGTTAATGGCAGGTTAGGGCCTTTGTAATTCCTGGTTTTATTTGAATTTATTCAGCGTTTATATTCTAATGAGGGCTGGCGGCGGTTTTTAAATATTGCTCGAAATGAAAAGGCTTTCAGAGTCATAATAATTTCGGATTGTTGAAGGAACTCGGCTGAAGAAATTAAATAAATGTTAGAATAACAAAACTTAAAATAATATTGTTATAAGAACTTTGAATGGAGTAATATATCGTCGCCCACGCTGTGTCTATTCATATACGATTGTTGACTCGCCTCGACTGAATATCGGTCCCGTGGTCCGAAAAAAACTATATTTTTTATTTATTTATTTCTAATATAAAAAATCTATTTTTTATGTTTTTTGAGACAAAATTTTTAATTTCTATTTATTTATGATACAACAATTCTATTTATTTATGAAAAACATAGGATTTTAGTCAGGAGTCATTAGAAACAATTCACGATAGACTTAAAATAAGCCTAGTCAAAATATAGATTACTTACTACTTTCATAGATTTATTATTCAACACAATTCGTAAATGAAGTCTGAAATTCCTTTTATTTGTATATATTTGGTCCTTTCAACTCCTAAGTTGCTTCGTTTGTAAGAACCCTTTCTCATCCCGATACAAAATGCCCGGAGCCTCTAGTAAGGATAATATTTGCCTTTTAAGCTCTTTCAGGTGAAGCCCGCTGTTGTGTTTTCATTTCCAGGCATTTTTGAATACGCTTTGAAATTTATAGGAAGGATAAATTTAATATTCTTACTTTGAAATTGTATAATAAAAGCCCCATACATACGATAAAACGTTTAACGCTAATAAATATAAATTAACTACATTATTAACAATAGTGTAGTTAATTTGAGAAATTAAGAATTTTTGAAATATTACGAAGAATATAAGTTTGAATAAAGTAAATAATTAAACGTTTAAAAAAGCAAACTTTGAAAACATTAATATTTTTCACATTCCGCGAGAGCTGCATATATCAATAAGTTGAAAAAATTCGACGATGAGGTGTAGGACTCGGTAGCTCAAATGGTAGAGCAACAGCACGGAACGTTGACGATGCCGGTTCAAGTCATGCCCAAGTTGAACATTTTTTCAATATATTTTCGATTTTTAAATTATATACTGCCTTCATGTGCAATTACATGTGAAAAATATTAATGTTTTCAAACTTAGAGACTATTAAAGATGGCGTCGGAATTAATCGAGTCGTCGAGCGCGTGGTGCGTTGGCGGTACTTGATTCCGAAGTCACCAAGATGGCTGCCCCGCTCCCACCGGTGTGACGTTCCGCAAGAATGGCAACTGACAGCTGACATAATATGTCCTGCTGCCATGCTGTTCCGACGTCGTCGACAGCAAACGTCATGTCTCGCGCCGTCAAGTTTAAATAAAATACTGCAACGGTTTAAAACGCGAAACACACTAGTTAAAATTATTTGAAAATTATTTTTTGGAGCAGCTGTGATCACGGGGAGATAGTTTAAGTTTAACTAATATATATTGCGTTTTAAGCCGTTAAAGTGTTTTATTTAAATGTGTACTACTCGCGTAAACTTCAGACAGTATTTGTTTTATTAGCATTAAGTTATCTTCTTTACAACAATGGTCACAATGTAAACATTATAACAAAGGCAGATTAGAAGACAGGCTCAGACAAGGCGTTAGTCTGATAATCCACAGATTTACATATTGAAACGGCAAACCAATTAGTGAAAGCAATTTAATTGAAATGGATGCTATAGTTGCGGGGCAAATACGTCTATAATATAGATCATATTGTATTGAGTGTAAATGGGCGAATTAAACTTTGAATGCTGAATAAAAAATTGTGATAGCAAAATGATGTACTTTAGTATGCAAAAGTTTTCTAGACATATAATTTTCTGAAGAAGTGTTGTTAAATTAACTAAACGAAGTTCGAAAAGAAAGCAAAGAAAGCGTTCTTATTTTGAACTATATTTGAACAAAGCTGTCGCAAATAACCGATATAGACTAAAAACGAAATAAGTATTACAAGCTAACCGAAGGACTAGACTAATTTTATCTGTATTTTTATCTCCGTATTTCACAATGATCTGACGATATATACTTTGTTCTACTCACGTAGGGAATTTAATCTTATATACTTACTATAAGTACTAATTATGTTTTTTATTTAATCTGAAACAGATGGGAGGTTAATCGTAAAACTATGTATGTGGCTATTAACATAGCTTTCAGGAGCTTTCTTCTAACTTGCAATAATTATTTCTTATAACAAATGTTGTCGTCAATCTAAAATATTTAATATACACTTTTCTCATTTATGAATTATTCCAATACTTTATAATATTAAGAGTAATCAATAAAACATATCCTACGAATCCACATGTGTAATAATAGTCAAACCAACAATAATATTTGCAAATACTTCGCACTCAATTTGTAAACAGCAATAACTGTTTGTGTCGTTTAGTTCAACAGATACTATCAAGGCGTACTCGCGTACAAAATAAACAAGAAATTAATTGTTATACTCGACGACTTACTTGTCTAAAGAGCGCGTGGGCTTTATTCAGAAAACAAAGTGTGTTTAAGATATATTAGAATCCATAGACTTGGGTAACAACAGTGCGAATAAGACCCAAAAAAAACTGTCTAAATATCACACAAATCATAAATTTTATTGGTGTTACAAAGGTGTTAGTTTTGGTGCAAAAGTTCTTAGGTAATTTTTATTTAGTCATGGCAACTTCAAAGAAACTGGCAACCCTTGTTCTATTATTCGCCTCCACGTTGGAATACGACCTGGAAATCTGTGATCTCCCATCCGAGGAATCCAATAAGCGTTGTTTTGTGAAACAAACGTTAGCCTCGCTCGCTCATAGCCCGAACCAATTAGCCGTCGACAAACTAACTAACACACTGTACTTCAGCTTCGACGCCGGCAACGGAGAATACATTCCAGGTGCACTCCATATTGATACTAAGCGTCTAACAGTTTTGAAGGGAGTTAAGGACGCTTTTGCTATAGCCAGCGACGAGTTCAACGGAGAGGTTTATTTCGGGGGAAGCCATGGCATCTACAGGTATAATACCATGATGAAAACCCTAAAACGGTTGGACGTGGACAGTTTGGATATATGGTGGCTGGTGGTGAAGAAACGGCTATATTTTATCAGGTTTCCTAGTCTGAAAACATATTCTTACGCCAACAGAACCATAAAAGCCTTAAACGAGCTACGCCATTTTACTGTGCATCAATTCGTTTTTGATGTTCATGATAACATCTTCTTCATAAATGGTTCTGGACTTTTCGGTATCAAAAAGGCGGAAACAAAAGCAGTACTCCTAAGGGACTATCCAAGATTTTTGAGTATGGCCATAGACAATACGAGCCAGGTTTATGTGTGTAGTGAGGAGCACATTTACGTATTGAATCAAATGGTGCTGAAGGTGAAGAAGATAGTGGATGTGCAAGGAGTCCTAGGTTTGACGTTTGATAAAGACAATCATCTTATTTACTCGAATTCCCAGGAGATCGTGAGATTGATGCCTGTTGATATTAAGTAAAATGTAAATCCCTTTTTTAGGAATTTTAATTAGAACAAGTATTTGACATCTGCTAGCAAATAAAATAAAAAATACTTGGTTATTTTACGAAATACACAATTTATAACCTAACTTTTTTAGACTACTTAACACTAAACTATTTTTTTGAATTGACAATAGTTTTTGAAGACGACAACAAAGCGACGAGAAAACATTATATTTTAAGTGTGTAGTATATTAAATATTTGTATCATAAACAAAACATAAACCTATTATACCAATACATTATGAGTAGATCTAGAAAAAAGCCGATAAATATAATGCCGTAATACTGAAGAAGATTATTAAGGTTAAAGCCGTAAAGGCAACTTACGAGCTATACGCCAGAGGTAATGTATTATTACTAGTTATTTCAGTATAACGACAACACTCATATTTCATTCGTAGCCTTTAAAATCTCTTCATAAATAACATAGTATCCATCAACAATATCATACGAAACATTACGAACTGTTCCCAACGCGATCTATATCAATTAGAGGAATATTATGCTCTAGCATAAACTCGGTACAGTTTTCGAATTGAAATTGTTCAAGCATTATTAGGAATGTTTACAAATTCGCTTAGAAACAAGCAACATTTGAGTTAATTAAAATCGGAGCACATAAATACATATTATATCTCTATCTTCTTCAATTTAATTTTAATTTAGAGTAATTTAATAGAATTTAAATTTATCTGGAACCCGTTAGCCGTTGCCTGGAAATCTGGATAATAGATGCGTGGTAATAATATCAAAAGCCACCTTCTCTGGATGGTAAAGCCGTCAAGTTTAATGGCTTTTCGGTTCCAACCCGGTTCGGGAAAAATGGTAGACAACGCATCTCGGTTAGATGTTATATGGCTCGGGTATTTTCACTTACGATCAACCGAACCCTATGCTTATGTCCACCTTTATCATAAAATAAAGTGATCTCTTCGTAATCGTTTTAGATACAAACCAGTACTCTAGACCACAGCTAAATCACAATATGACATGCAATTGCCTTTAATTAGACATTACACATGTATTAGGTAATCTAATTAAACTAATTATCCATTATCTGGTTATATTAACATAGCATATAATCTCGACATGAGTATTGGATTCAATTTAATTTGAGCTATACGTCAAATATATAATTCTCTCGTATGAAGTGGTTTTAGAAACATTTGTACCGGATGCTAAAAAGAGTAATTTTCAAATTTAGAACTGGCGCGGTCGACTAACGAAATAATTAACGAATAACTCTACTGCTTTTAATTATTCGTATTGATCTGTTAACTTTTATACTTATTATTGTCCATCATTTCAGTACTTGAAACATATTGGTTGCATGTTTCTGCTTTATGGATGGAGAATTATGCGGTGGGCGTGGTTTTACGCTGAAAGCATTCTACCAACAATCTCTATTTAAATCTTTATATAAAATATGTTTACTTTACATTTTACAATTTCACGGTTTTACTTCGATAGTATAATTAGAGAAATCATACATTAAATTGTAACCTAGAACGTGCAAAAACTACAAAAGATTAAAACACGAAGATAAATAATTTTTCATTGATATTAACAATCGGAATAACATTCCAAAAATAAAATTGCAATAGCATGTGCGATAACAGACGGTTTCATTAAAATCTATGAAATATGCTATTCGAAATATTTCGTAGTCTCGCATTTGATAATATGATGCACCTTGTTAAGCCGATAAGCCAATTATGACCAAACCACTATCAAACAGAATTAGCGTTATGATACATTTTCCTTTTCACTAGTTAAAATTAAAAATATTTTCAATTAAAAAGCATAGAACACCACGTGCATTTTTGCCAAACGACGAGGATTAAAAAGAATTCTAAATTATTATTCAATCTATGTATGTAACATAGTCAACTATATCACACAAAATACTGACCCGATACTGATGAAAAATTAATATTGAAAGGAATAACGCCGAGAATAAGATGGGATTAGATGTATTGAATAAATACAATATTCGGAAATTAAATCTGAAAAACTAACTTCCAAATAGATTGATCTCATTCTAAACGTCATTTGACTAAATAACATAGAATACCCAATAAATGTATAAGTATATATTTATTATTTCATAATGCTTAAACATAGTAATTTTATTTGTGTTGTAAGAAAGTTTTAAATTTTGCGCAGTGGGTAAAGAATATACCTTAGCGCAACTCGAAGCCGATATCAAAACCTCATCACATTAGGGGAAACTAAAATAGAACCTAAATAGATTACTGCGTCGTTCGAAGTAAAGGTAACAGTTGTATGATATAAGCAGAAAAAAATCTTTACAAATGTTTATAAAATTAGAAAACAACATTTAATTAAAACACTTGTTTAAGTGTTTTATTAAAAAATGATTTGACAGTCTTCCCGTGACCACGACTGCACAGCATCCGAAACGTTGGGCCGAAGTTAAAAATCATTTTTCAAATAAGTTTAACTAATATATCGCGTTTTAAACCGTTTAAGTGTTTTATTTAAATGTATACTACTCGCGTAAACTACAGACAGTGTTTAAATGTGTACTACTCGCGTAAACTGTGGACAGTATTAAAGAAAACAATAGTTACATCAAATAGTTCTTCTAATTTTGTTTTGGTGTTAATGGTAGCAAGTAATCAATGAGTCATGAGTTCGAGCCCCACTGGGTCCAAAATTTGTATAATCAAAATATATTTTTTTGGAAACATGATAGACATTTTACATGCGATGTTAAATTGGTGGTATGAATATAGTATATATGAATTCCGTCTGGATCATGAATCATCGTCCACAGTCAAGTATAGCCTATGCTGTCTATAGTATCCTTGACTGATATTTTATTAAATAAAATCGTTAATTGATACTGATACAAAAATATGCCCGTTTAACAAAGATCGTCGATTCGTGGCTCGCTGTTCGTATATCTGGTGTGACGTGATATTTTAGTGCCAGTGGAGATCTTTTTGTAAGACAAAGAAGGTAGTTATATGTATTTAGTAGCGTCTTCAATCGAGCAAATCATGCACCTCATGCTTGTCTTGTCTGTCTGTACAAAAAAGGACCTGTAGAACTCGTGATGTAGTAAATTCTATATCATTGGACCAATCCGAGACGTTCGTCCTACTAATGTCAAAATGTAGAAATGTTGAAAAACTAAGATCTTTTTATTGAAAAACCAAGTTTGACTTCAAATTCAGTCCATCGCTATTAATAATACTAAAACTATTCTCATCAATCTCTAAGCGATGATTCTTTTTGTGAATGAATAGTTATTTTCAAACTCAAACCATTTATTTCACAAGATTTTGGGCATCTAAATTTGTTCCTCCCCATCTTTATAAAATTGATACCCACGACGCGGTCGCGTCCCGTTGTTTTTGCAATTTAATTCGTTAATCTTAAAGGGTGTATATGGAAAAGTTCTGAAAACTTATGAGGCCATATATTAGGAGCTGAAAGGTGTTATATGGTGCTATTTATTTTCATTTAGTTCCAGATTTTTTTCCAAAGTTTATAATACGAGCATGAAATGTAGAGCTAACAGTCCTGAAGCGTATTGCGATACGTTTTGTAAATAGTCGTATTATTAGATGAATCATTTTTACGTTTATTGTACGTATTGTGGTAAAAGGGACATTGATACAAATTTGTTTTGCGTTTGTTCGAAGGACCATCTGAGAGGAATCATTGTTTAATACATAGTTTTTGGGTATTGTGAACCATTTTTCAGCAAAACAAATAAATAATAACAAATAAGTAATCTATACATATTATAGATTTCTTACTAGATAATCGTAGAACACGCGTGCGTTGTGGTAAAATATAGATCATAGAAAAGTCATAAGGCGCTTAAACTTGTAACGACCAGGCTCGAGATCAGATAGGCTTTGGAATCGACACGGTGAATGATAGCTGAAATTAGGTGAAGGCTCCGGGGCTTAAGCTTTCACACAATGCTGCCGCAGATTGGATCTGTGGGGGTAATGCGCTTTACGCCTTCAAGGCTTCGGCTGTGGACCGTGGTTAGGGTTTAGCATTTCCCGTTATATCACTTGGGAAGCATTTTCCACGTCATTAGTCCATATAGGTAATAATCAACTGGTCATTGTTTTGTTATAAGACGAGGAAAGGGGGGGACAGGCAATAATGGGGTTTCACTTGATGGTAGGTAAAATAACAGCCATATAGCATCTAAACAAGATGCTCTGTCAACCTTTTTTGGCTTTGGATATTCGGAAATCCACAATCTGAAACCGAAACCCGACTAAACTTCACGGCTTTTTCACCTGTGGAGGGTGATTCGTGGCCTGGACGGAATTTCTAAGTTCAATGATTCAGAAAAAAATTAACATAGAACATGTTGAACCCGGTGGGTCCAACATGTTCCCGATGAACCCGATGATTAGCTATTGATAGGAATATTCCTCCGACTTAGCGGGGACGACACAACACTAGTGCGACGCGATAACTGCGCGCGCCCCCGCACTAGCTGAGGAGCTGTCAAATACGAACGTTGGCGGGCATTTTGTCGGCTAAGTCTAATTTTGCTAATACATTAATATTTTATAATTTAACATTGTTTTTCCGCCTTAATACTATATACATTTTTGATCAAATTATCCCCATAATTGTCTGTTCGTCTTGATATTTAGATAAAGTAATTTTTATGAAGGCGATAATAAAATAGAGTAAGTAAAGTAATAGGTAGTAAAAATATTAAACAGCAATGCTTAAAAGCAAGTTTTGTCTGTACGTGTATAATATAAATGAGCGTAAGGCTTGGATATGTTCCAAAAAGTAGCTTGCATTATGCCCCATACAATGTGGTTTACATTTGTTATTTTAACGTACCTTTGTGAGGCAAATGTATTGAAATACTTTTTCGGGGAACATTACAGTTTTAGTGTACGATCTGCATGTAAGGTGCGGATTGTTGTAATAATATGTATTTAATGATAGAGGGGGACAG